CTAATGCAACTAGAGCACTTCTGGAGATTCATAAGGGAAGATACACCTCTTAAAAATGACTGCACTGAAGGCTCCATGGAAGCTTGTAAACTGAATCTCCACCAGCTGCATGATAGTTGCTCATAGTTCACTTGGATTTACAGACAGCTGCCACACATGGAGAGAGACCTGTGGAAACAGGGATCCCTAGTAATGGAAATCTAGTGTGAGGCTGACAGACAGATGCAGACCTTTATCATAAAGGGTGCCTACACGTGCTCCGATGCGTTCTAATTAGAATGAGTCTGCTGGAATATTCTAATTAGAAAGCTCCAGAGTGCTGCAACATCATGTGTATTCAGCATCCCACATTTCAAAATGGCAGTGGGGATGCTTTAACTAAAACTCATCAAACAATGATGATCCTGCAGCCATTTGGAAACATGGGACGCTGAATACACACAAGGCTGCAGCATTTCAATTAGAGTGGCTGTCTGGGAGGAGCTCTAATTAAAAGCTCCCCCGCCCCCCACCCGCCCCTATCCCCACACTGGAGCATGTGTATAGACACTCAGAGAGACTAAGTGGAATGTATAAGGACTTGGTATCTGTACTGAAGATTATATGAAAACATTACTACCATTTTCCAGACTTTTCCATGTTTTCATCAATAAAATGTTAGCTGCAGACTAGTGGAAGTGGGAATAGCTGCCCTTTGGCACCCTCTGGTCCTTCTTCAATGAGCATCCCTCAAATGTAATGTTGTACCTTATCCCCTCAGGACCTTGTCAAAATTCTGTTTTGTCCCCATGTTTCTGCAGTTCATTGGGCTACAGGGAGGATTAGTATGGAGGTGTGGCTGGCATACTTCCATTAGTAGGGGGGGGTGCCTGCCATACTTCCAATATGCTATTGCCACCCAGCTCTCCATCTTTATTATAAGCCATCCAGTGCTGTTCAATGTCTGGCTCAGTGCCTGGCTGAAACTAGTGCATGGATGATCTTGCTAGCCAAAGCACAATCCAGATAAGACTGAGGTGATGATAGATTAAGGGAAGCACCTGGAAGACAGTGACAATTATACCTGCCTCTTCGGTGGTTTGTCCAGCTGTTACTATCTCACTCTAGATTGCCCTTGTAATTGCCTTTCTAAAAATCTGGATCAGATATCAAATGCTGCTTTGACTTTTCACAGTGACAAAAATATATTTCCTTTCCTCTCCAATGCCACATCAAGATATATAGTTACTATGGTCAGTATTTTTGATGAGGAAGTCTGTTGTTCCTCTCAGCATTGCAGTCGAAAAACTAGTTTTCCATTCATGCTGGAATGTTCATATTTTCATAAATCTGCCTAGTATAGGAAGACCTTTCCTCCATGCTTCTGGCAATAGGTGTCCTTACAAGCATGTGCACTGGATACTGTGAAACCTATATTTTAAAGTTCTTTGCCCTTATGTTTTACACATAGTATGAATGCTGTTGGCATTCCTATGACATTTGATTCACTTATCCCTTCAACAGAAAACAGTAAATGGCTTTTCTTTTCTAATTCTAGGGAGAAGATTGCATACTTTACAAGAGCAAAGATCAGCATACCATCCCTACCTGCTGATGATGTGTAATTACATTTTTCATTGAAGTATTTTTCCACTTGCTCATCTTTTTTAGATGAATTTTTTGTAGTTCTAGCTGCCTGCTTTTAAAGATCTATTTTACATTCAGCTATAGATATATGTATTGTATAATACAGTGAACTGAATTTTCATCTGTTTAAAAAAAAGAAAAAAAATAACAAATACAAACCACCACCGCCAGCAAACCAAAGTAGAATAATTCTGGTACACTGATGCTAATTTTGTACAGTTTGTATGTATTGCGTGTGCTCTTTTATTTTGTAAAGATGGAACAAAGGCAGTACCAAGTGTGTATCCTGTTGAACCGCACTGTGTTGAGAATATTATGTTCAACAGAAGATTGTTTATCTTTTCACTATTTTCATGTGAGCAGACTGTGAAGATGGCTGTTAAGCCATGCAATATTTTTATACAAGTGTGACTTTTATAGTTTGAAGTTAACCACAAGTACAAGCTCCTTTCCAAAACAGCAAGGCTGCCTTAATAACAGGTGCTGTTTAGATTCCGTCACCTACATGGGGATTTTGTTTCTGAAAAAAAAACCCTTTCCTTTCTGTCCTCATTATTATTTGCATGAAGAAGGAACATAGAGTATCAAGTATAACTGTGTGAATGTACAGTACTTTGGGCTGCACTAAAGGTTTCATGGTCCCCTGCATCTATGGGGGGAGGGGGGGTGTGCAAATCTATAATCCTAAAATCTTGTTCAACTGAAGTTACCAAAAGGGCAGCTGCTTTTTTGAAGCTGAATTGAATTTACATTGAAGTGTTTAAATCTGAATAATTGTATGCGGCAGGCTAAAAACCTTGCATTTAAATGTCCTAAACGTTTTGGTAACTAGGAATATGGGGTGGGGGGAGATTCAGGTTTACAAACACTTTTAAAAAATTGTGCCGTTGTCAAAATAGGGTGGAAAACCCCTTACCTAATACACTCTTAATTAATTCATTGTTTCAAGTACCAGAAGTACTGATGACACAGAAATGCATACTGAAAAAAGAAGTCCCTGGGTAGTAGGCTTAAAATATTTCGGTGGGATATGTGCTACACAGTTCTCAGATTTTTAATATGCAGAACACAAGCTGCTTTTCAGAGTGACGGGGGTTTAAGTTGACAGCTATCAGAAGTAAATGTGAACAATCTCTCCAAACAGAATTTTAACTTACTTGTCCAGAATCTTTGTTACAAAAAGGTAAAAGACAATGTGGATGTGCTTGTCATAAGTCCTTGAAATCCTGCATAGGGCTGCTTCTCAGTATTTACAGCAACCTGTCTCAGAAAAAGACATTCTATAGTTGATTTTATCTTCAAAAGAACATAACTAATATGGTTGCATCTGCAATCCATGGCTTCAGACATTTTTCTCCCAAAATGTTATGCTAGATTATTTTTTCCCCCGTCTTTTTGGATAGAATCTTTGTTTCCAAGCTCCAGACCACACTGACAAGCTACCTACACATGGTACTTTACTTTTTCAGAAAGTAATTTTAGTGAAGTAGAAAGATGGAGAGAACATAGATAGCTACAGTGTATTCGCAAATGTCTTAAGCTCAAAGTAAGAAAATTCCGTGCCCCGCATTGTGTGTGTTAAGCTTATCAAGGACTTTCTTGTTATGCACAAATACATCTATGGACTCAAACCATTTAAATTGATAACTGGATGCCACACTGTTTTGAACAAGAGGTCAGTTAGGTCAACTGACTGAGCATGATTTGTTTCATGCATGCCCCATTTATTTTTTAAAAGACTACTAGAAAGAAAAAGATAACATTGATGTTTGTGAGGTCAATTTTAAGAACAAAAGTTTGAAATTATTTAACATAGAGGTGAAATGAAGGTTGACTGATTCAGCTTCTCAATTTGATTATATAATATGTTTGTAGAATGATGTGTAGAGTTGTACCTTATGATTTATTTTCTTTTATTTATTTACAGTCTTATTTATGTTCCGTTTAATATAGTTCAGTTCTGGCCATTTAAAATGTTTGACATTAAAGAGGTTATCATGAGAAATGTTTTCAATATTCTAAATTTTTGTCTGACTAGGTGATCCTAACAACATTCACAAGAGTATTAAAGTAAATTTTGTTTGACTGGTAATTATAGGTGTGGCCCGGACTAAGTTCTGTTGGCTTCAGTTTGCAAAATTTGCTCATTTTTAAAATGAGACTGGCTTAGGTGTGTAGACTCTCTCCTTACTTTCCAAGTCCTCACTAGTATTACAAACCTATTTATAAGCAGCTTTTAACAATTATGTTTTTTGTTTATATAGCTCATTCAAATGATTCACACTGATGAAACATTAAATATGCTGAATTAAAAATGGATATGGACAAACCCATATGAAATCTAAAACTTATACATATTACTCTTAAAGTAGCAGAATTTACCCTCCACAGGGTAAGAAATGTAACATTTAGCTCTCCTGTCTCAATTATCAGTATGTTATTACAACTGTGTGTATCAAAATCTAAGTATTACAGGTACAAAACAATATTATTGTTTAGGCAAATGGACAAGTTTAGCAGAAATTGTAAAATGAAACAAATCAAATTAATTTTAAAATCTTATTTTTTTTTTATTTTTTTTTACTATTGCAATGTTTATACTATATTAAGTATCAAATGCTCAGGACTGAACTAAATATTTAATCAGGTTATATTCCGAACGTGTTTCTGTTTTAATTTTGTCTATAACAAAGTATGCAACTACATCACATAGATTAATTTTTGTCTCTGCACTTTCCATGCGTTTCAGTGATTGGAAAAATACAATTTTTTAACAAAGCTGTTGTGCTGACTTAGTGTTTTATTTTTGTCCATTCTAATTGCTGGCTAAGTCACTGCAGAAGTAGATGTTTGCTTAGAGTTTGTCAGCTTCAAAAACATTAATTGCTATGACTATTTCAAAAAATTGCACATAGTTCTTAGGCTCAAAGCAGAAGTGTTCTCAGTTTCTAACTTAAACTCAGTTCTTTAATGGATATAAAGTGGTGTAGAACAGCAAATGCGACTGCCAGGAAAGATAGTGACTTTCACACTCATGCAAGACACCTGGGTCTCTTGTGAGTATGAGTTTTTGTGCTGTATATTTGTAAGTGTGGTGCTTTTGTGATGCATATAACTATGGAATATGTAAAATGGGAGCATCAAAAATATACTGATGCTTAAGACAGGATTTCAACAACTTGTAGATGAGTTTATCCAGAACCTCTGTTGCTTTTGTCCCCTTCTCTGTCTCACCTCAGCCCAGAAGATCATTTACATCTGAGGTAGATCTTCAGATGGTGCAAATGGCCATAGCTCCATGTGATGTAATGGATCTTGAAAATTTACAGCACCTGGGAGTCAACTCCATTGGCTTTGTTTAAAAATATGTTTGAGGGACACCGAACTTCCTTGCCTGTTCTTTCTGGGCACAGCAAATTCACCCCTTTCTTACCAAATTAGGTTAAAAAAAATAGCAAAACTAAGAACATGAGTCACTAAGAGTTAGGTGCCAGAGTTATTGAGAGGTGTTTCTATTTTCATAGGTTAAATTAAACTTGGCCATTTGACACACACTGCTCAGGACATTAAAGTTACCTCACATTCTTAGAACTAGGAAGTGCCAGGCTTTTCCATTAAATCTGCAATGATTATAAAGCTCTACCATAAACAGACACCATCAAAGTAAATAGATCATTAGATAGAAAGATAGATCATAGATGGAAAGAAACAAAAATCAAAATTTAGATTAAAAAATGAGTTTACCAGACTTGCAGAAAGAACATGGATTTTAAAGGTTAGTGGTCAAGGCATGAAAGTTTAAAAACTGAAAAAAGAAGAAAAGTAAGGAGAGACATCATCTTCTGGGTAGTCACTGCATATTACGTAAGCCTCTGAGTCTTGAACTGAAAAGCATCTTATCTTGGGTTAGAATATTAGAAGAAGCTGGTAGCACTTGCTACCCTTCTCCAAAGGCTTCAGTATTCAGTTTCCCAGTGTTGATGAATATCCTGCATTTCTGCCATTGAGTAACGTTCTGATGATGGAGGATCTGTAGTTGAACAGGCTGTGCACATAAGTATCCCTCCTACAAATATGAAGAATCCACCAAACCAGCCAGTAAACAGCGCATCCTCGAATTCCCGTCTGGGGACAATCTCTGAGATATCCTCATCCCAAAATTCTTGTATTATAACATGGGCAACCCAAGAAACTGGAACTAAGGTCAAAGCTCCAGGTAGCCATAAAAGTATTCCTCCAAACAGTAACAGTCCTTTCTTGAGTTGCTGTTGTGTCTCTCTCATCTTCAGGAAGTCCAGACCAAAACAAGAGAGCAGGAGACTCAGAAATCCTAGCACATTTGATGTACACATTAAAATTCTGGAAACCCTGAACTCTGCAGGCAAAGCCAGAAAAGAATCAAAATCCTTACATTGTGTTCTTCCAGTTCCATCTTGGACTATACAGGTTTGCCAGAATCCCATGGTCCAGGTCTCCAGTTCATTTATATCTAAGCTGAGATTTTTCCAGTCTGGCAAGTAATTACAGGAACCAGTTAAAACCCACCCTAGCAAAGATAATAAAATTCCAGCTAGTTGCATCCAATGTCTGTGAGCTACAGCCATTTTTATAGTAGCCATAAAAGCATTAGAAATGTCTCTATCTGGGCCAACAGATCTCTCCTCTGTTCAGTTCTTTGTTGCACTGAATATAATAGGGAGTAACATGTATATGTAGAGAAACAGTCTCTCCTATATATACTGTTTTAGAAAAAGGACTTTTGCCAGATTTTAGATCATCTGGTTCTATGTGGAATTGCCTTGAGTATAAGGAAATACTGTGGTAGACTATTAATTGAAAGGTGTGGCTACAATTGATCTTACATTCCATGAGCTTTATTTTGCAGCATAAAAAGCTGGTCTTTCCATAGAAAGTCATGTTCTTTAATATCCTTTATATGACTGCTGCAAAGAAGGAGTCGTTGTTACCCAAATGAAAAGATTTTAACATTTGTGAAGTTTTGGTATCTCAATATTTAGAAATACAATTAACAAACTGAATAAAAGCCATAAGTACAGGGTGTTTGGATGAGCCCATGCTAAAATTATTTTAACAAATATGGGCTGCATGTAGTAAAATAAAAGCAATATTTATCAGGTTTCTACCCATGTATTATAATCAATGTATTGGCATGTACAAGAATAATTTAAATATTTTCCAGCCACTCGTATTGTAATTTTGTTTGCGTGTGTCTAATAGATGCAGGTGTAGAAGACCCATTTTAATTTTTCTGTTTATGTGATCACTATCTCAATCTAAAACTTAGCTGTCCAGGTAGCATGAAATACTGATGAATTACAATGTAGGATTAAGAAACAAACAAACAAAAATTTAATGTATGAACAAACCTTACTCTCTGCAAGTTTTGTTGGTTTATCCAAGAAAATTCCAGGTTCCTGGAACACTAACACAGTTCCTACATAGACCACCCCTCTCTCTGTAGAGTGTCTACACCCAGAATACACATGCTTTTAAGAAATTTAGGAGTTGCATATACTCCGCACTAGGTAGGTAGAGGACTCTGCTATTGGGAATAAAAAATAAAAGCTTTGAATCTCATTTAATTGATTTCATATGAAAAAGAAACTTACATTTTGGCTGTCAACCAAACTATAAAAAGAGCATGCTTATTCTTTTGGGGGGTTTCACAGTTCAGTTAGACAGCAAACAAAGTTGTGGTGGTTCTTCTCCACAGTCCATGGTAGCTTTAATGTCCTGCTGTGAAACAAAAGGTTTAACAGTTCTTCAAGTGAGGGAAAACACTGCTTTGAAATAACAGTTAAAGGAAGAAAGAATTAGACACACAAGTTTTGTGAATCAGCTAGGTAACAAAGAGTCCTTTGAATCATTGCTGGAACAAGCAGAGTTTGAAAAGAGAAGAGTCCTTCTACACTTCTTAAGCTCTTAGATTTTCAGGTCTATTTTCAGTTTCCAAGTGTTGACAGTGATCTTGTACTTCTGCTGCTGCATAATGGACAGAGGATGAATGGATTTCAGTTGAGCAGACTGTACAATTAAGCAATGATCCTCCTAGTATAAGACAAAATCCAGCAAACCAGCCAATAAATAGTGCTTCCCCAAAATCCCACCTGGGGACAATATCTGGGATAGTCTCATCCCAAAATTCCTGGACTGTAGTGTGGGCAACCCAAGAAACTGGGACTATGGCTATAATTCCCGATACGCAGAATACTATTCCTCCAAGCAGTAGCAGCCGTTTCTTTAGTTCGTGTTGTCTCTCACCAACCTTCAAACAGTCCAACCCGAAGCCTGAGAGCAAGAGGCCCAGAAGTCCTAATCCATTGGAAAAAAACATTAAAATCCTAGAAATCCTGAGCTCAGGAGGCAAAGCCAAGAAAGAATCAAAATCCTTGCATTGTATTCCCCCTTCCTCTTGGACAACACAAGCTTGCCAGAGTCCCATGGTCCAGATCTCCAATTCATTTAATTCTAAATTGAGATTTTTCCATTGAGGTAGATAGGTGGTGAGGCAGGATAGAACCCATCCTAGAAAAGAAACCAAAATGCCACTTAATTGCATCATAGTTCTATAGACTAAAGCCATTGTGAGAACAGTCTCCTAAAAGCTGTAGGAGGAATGTCTACCCTGCAGCTCTATAAGCACCTATCTTTTGTGGTGGTTGGAGCTATGATGCTCTTAGTTCTCTGCTGCCCTGAATATAAGCTTTTGATATTAACCCTTTGAAAGTTCTGAAACGCTTTTTTGTTCTTGGTGAATATAATGTTTCATGTAGAGGACGGAGGACTCTGCTAAACCATGAGTTAGGCTTTCTGATAAGGATTTGATCTGTTACCTTCCAATTTGCTTGGTAAAATTATATCCCAATGCCTGATGATTACAAGTCTGAGGATGAACAAAGAAGGCTCTATGACCCCTCACCCTAAAATACAACAGAAATCTTTGTGCTTCAATACGGATTAATTAGATTTTAAGTGGTGATAAAAAAGCTGCTCTGTCTGCAACAGGACTTCATTGTAATAGCTAAGTTTGAGATTTCAGGGATGTAAATCAAGGCCTTGTAAAGAAAGGTAGACTGTTTCCCTATAATCTTTATTCTTAGACTTCCTCAACATACACAATGGCTTCTCCTCCACTCTCCTGTTCTATGCCACAAGCTCTGTAAAATACACTGTCAAAGGTGGTCTTTGTTTCACATTTTCCACATTCATTTCTTTTAAAATGGGCTTTGTTTTAGGACTGACCCTTTTAAGGGGCAAAGGAGGAGAGAGTGAATGTTCAAAGCACTGTAGAGAATTAAATCCTCAACTTTCGCTTGTAAGAATGAACCCAGGGCAGACTTTCACCTGGGGTAAATTGTTACTGTTCACCTGGTTTCAGTGGAGCTATGACAGGTTATGCCAGCTGAACACTGTCCTATTAGCTAAGTCTCTCATGCTGGCTGTTTGCTCACGAGAGTCATCGGTGACAAATGTGTTAGGCATTTCCTGCCCCAGTGCTTCTAAAAACAAGTTCTGCTTAAGCATAGGCAGTGGGAGAAGATGGAACCTACATGTATCATAATGCTTTTGCCCTGCTGCGTGCTTCTGAGGTCCAGCTCTTCTCATCCCCAAGCTCTAGGAAATTGATGGTTTGGGCACACATGTCTATGGTGGTGGCCATGGTTTGATTGTTCACCTCCGACTGATAGGGACGGAGTTAACTTCATAGCCTGTAAGGGCATTTAAATATTAGTTTTAATAAGCGAGGCAGCAATAAAAGCCATGCTTCCCATTCGCTACTGGGTTGTGTGTGTCGCCCTTCTAATGTATCGGAATGGGATGTAGGCAATTTCCCAGATGCTAAAGAGCAGCTCCACTCTGAGAACTGGCTGTTATAGTGGATCTCCTGTGTGTTTGCAAAGTTACTTGCTGAGCTTTATGACATATATAAAGGTATCTTTACTGCCATAAGCTCTGGGGAGATAAACACCACAGATAATCTGTTCCCAATTCCTCCTCATGCATCAATCAGAAATATTTAACCAATTCCCATCACTTCCAACTGTGCAGACACTGACTGGTTACATCTGCCTACTTGCAGCATGAGCATGACAGAAAATAAATGGGTTTGCATAAGGGAGTTACTGATTTGGCCTGAGGCTATTGCAAGAGAAGGAAGACGGCCCCCCATGGAGTTTTCAGGGCTGGCAATGATATTTTTCCCTCCTTTCTGGTTTTGGAGTGAGCGTCTTTGTTCTGGAAATCATTGATGCAATTTAGATGAGCCCTTATGCCAATATTTTATAACTCAACAGTGTTTAAGTGTTCCTTAAGATTGTTGATCCACAAAATTCTAAGCTACAACACTGTCCTTCACTTCACTGTTCCCCAAATGAGGATCTTCCTGCTAGGCTGCCATGTTTGAAGCATAATCCTATTATTCTTGTTTGGATCCTGTATGTTTTTCCTTTTCCACTCCCCCATTTTAGGAGTTTGGTAAAAACAGGCAAGTGGATCTGTCATATTGACCATACAGTATTTAAAGGTTAGAGATGGAAAGACTTTGTAGAGAAATTCAGTTAGCAAATGAAAACTTAATCACAAAAAGGAAGCTTATAAGTAGTGGAAACTTGGACAAATAACTGGGGAGGAGTATAAGAGCATTGCTTGGGCATGAAGGGATGAAGTCAGGAAGGCCAAAAGCGCAATTGGAGTTGCAGCTAGCAAGGGATGTGAAGGGTAACAAGGGTTTCTGCAAGTATGTTGGTAGCAAGAGGAGGATCAGAGAAAGTGCGGGTCCCTTACTGAATGGGGGAGGCAACCTAGTAACAGATGATGCTGAAAAGGCTGAAGTACTCAATGGCTTTTTTACCTCAGTCTTCACAAGCAAGGTCAGCTCCCACGCTACTGAACCTGGCAGCACAGTTTGGGGAGGAGGTGAGCAGCCAACAGTAGCAAAAGAACAGGTTAGGGTCTGTTTAGAAAAAAGCTGGATATATACAAGTCCATGGGGTCGGATGGGATGCAATAGAGGGTGCTGAGGGCATTGGCTGATGAGATTGCAGAGCCACTGGTCATCATCTTTGAAAACTCATGGCAATCAGGAGAGGCCCCAGATGATTGGAAAAGAGTAAACATAGTGCCCATATTAAAGAAAGAGAAAAAGGAGGATCCAGGAAACTATGAAAAAACAGTCAGCCTCACCTCAGTCCTTGGAAAAATCATGGATCAGATCCTCAAGGAATCAAATTCTAAGCACTTGAAGGAGAAGAGGGTGATTAGGAACAGTCAGCATGGATTCACCAGGGGCAAGTCATGCCTGACCAACCTGACTGCCTTCTATGATGAGATGACTGACTCTGTGGATGTGGGGAGACCAGTGGATGTGGTGTACCTTGACTTTAGCAAGGCTTTTGATACGGTCTCCCACGATATTCTCACAGGCAGGCTAAGCAAGTATGGGCTGGATGAATGGACTGAGGGGTGGAAAGAAAACTAGCTGGAGCATCGAGTTCAGAGAGTAGTAATCAATGGCTTGATGTCTAGTTGGCAACTGGTATCAAGTGGGAGTGCCCCAGGGGTCAGTCCTGGGCCCAGTTTTGTTCAATGTCTTCAACAACCTGGAAGATGGCATAGAGTACACACTCAGAAAGTTTGCAGATGACACCCAGCTGAAGGGAGTAGTAGATATGATAGAGGGTAGGGCTGGGATTCAGAGCAATTTGGACAAATTGGAGGATTGGACCAAAAGGAATCTCATGAAGCTCAACAAAGACAAATGCAAAGTCCTGCACTTAGGTTAGAACAATCCCATGCACCAGTACAGCCTGGAGACTGACCTGGGGGTTACAGTGGACAATAAGCTGAATATGAGCCAACAGTGTGCCCTTGTTGCCAAGGAGGGTAACAGCATACTGGGCTGCATTGGCAGGTGTGTTGCCAGCAGATCAAGGGAAGTGATCATTCTTCTTTATTCAGCACTGGTGAAGCCACATCTAGAGTACTGTGTTCAGTTTTGGGCCTCCCACTACAGAAAGTATGTGGACAAATTGGAGGGAGTCCAGCAGAGGGTAAGGAAAATGGTGAGGGTGCTGGTGCACATGACTTATGAGGACAGGCTGAGGGAACTGCCCCAGGGAGTCCAGGCTGAGGGGCATGGATCTTTGAGAACTCCTGGCGCTCTGGTGAAGTGCCCGAAAATTGGAAGAAGGCCAATGTGGTGCCTATCTTCAAGAAAGGGAGGAGAGTGTATCCAAGCAAACTACAGGCCCATCAGCCTGACATGTATCCCAGGGAAGGTCTTAGAAAAGATCATCAAAGAAACCATTCTTAACAGACTGGCTGATGGCAGCATCCTGAAGGATAGCCAGCACGGGTTTGTTGCGGGTAGGTCTTGCTTGCTTGACCAGTCTTATTTCCTTTTATGGCCAGATGACCTACACCTGGACAAGGGAGAAGAGAGTGATGTTGTATATCTTGGCTTTAAAAAAGCCTTCAATCTGGTATCCCATGGTTACCTCTTAGCAAAACTGGCCAACTGCGGCCTCAGCTTCACCATGATCCACTGGCTAGGGAATTGGCTCCGTGGTCAGACTCAGAGGGTGGTGGTTGACAGAAATCAATCGTTGTGGTGCGCTGTGACCAGTGGGGTCCCTCAAGGCTCTGTCCTTGGGCCAACACTATTCAACATTTTCATTAATGATGTGGACATTGGCGTCAGATGCGGACTGGCCAAGTTCGCCAATGACACCAAACTTTGGGGTAAAGCGTCCACACCTGAAGACAGAAGGGAGATCCAGGCGGATCTCGACAGGCTCAGGAAATTGGCGGACGAGAACCTGATGGTGTTTAACACCGAAAAATGCAAGGTTCTCCATCTTGGGAAGAAAAATCCGCAGCAGGCTTATAGGCTCGGCAGTGCCACGCTGACTAGCACTGTGGACAAAAAGGACTTGGGGGCCATGATTGACTACAAGATGAACATGAGCCTTCAATGTGATGCTGCAGCTAGTAAAGCGAGCTTCTCAAGCAAATCCTAGGATGTCATTCTCCCTTTGTACTCGGCCTTGGTGAGGCCGCAGCTGGAGTACTGCATCCAGTTTTGGGCTCCACAATTCAAAAAGGATGTGGAGAAGCTTGAGAGAGACTAGAGGAGAGCCACACGCATGATCAGAGGTCAAGAAAACAGATCTTATGATGAGAGGCTGAGAACTAGGACTCCTCAGACTGGAAAAGCACAGGCTCAGGGGTGATCTGGTGGCCGCCTATAAGTTTATAAGGGGTGCTTACCAGGATCTGGGGGAACATCTGTTCACCAGAGTGCCCGAAGGGATGACAACGTCAAATGGTCACAAACTCCTCCATGACCGTTTTAGGATGGACATAAGGAAGAACTTTACTGTCCGAGCCCCCAAGGCCTGGAATAGACTACTGCTGGAGGTGGTTTAAGCACCTACTTTGAAGGCCTTTAAGAGAAATTTGGATGTTTATCTTGCTGGGATCCTATAACCCCTGCTGACTTCCTGCCCCTGGAGGGGGCTGGACTCGATGATCTTCCAAGGTCGCTTCCAGCCTTAATGTCTATAAAATCTATGAAATCTATGA